CATTAAGTCACAAAATGGGTTTTTTTTTTTTTTTTTTAAAGATTTTATTTATTTGACAGAGAGAGACACAGAGAGGGAACAGAAGCAGGGAGAGTGGAAGAGGGAGAAGCAGGCTTCCCGCGGAGCAGGGAGTCCGATATGGGGCTTGATCCCAGGACCCTGGGATTATGACCTGAGCCGAAGGCAGATGCTTAATGACTGAGCCACCCAGGCGCCCCAGTGAGCTTTCCTTTTTTGTACACCTGCCCCTTCCTCTGCCAGCGTTCCAAATTGCCAGTCTTAAAGTATCTTATAAAAATATCTTTGTTACAGTCCTCTCTGGTTTTGTTTTTGCAAAAGCGCCTCCTCTTATTAGATGCCCCCCTGCCCCCCAGTGTCCTGTGTTTCCTGTTGCAACGCAGGCAGGGCACCCACAGGGTGATGCATGACTGTGTCCCACATGCAGTGTTTCCTGGATCGCAGGTCTTCTCGTTCAGTTGGGTTCCTCCCTCATTGGGTGGGAATACATCCTTAAGTAACTTCCTTAGAAAAGGCACATGGGAAATAATTTTATGAGAACTTGCATGTCTGAAAATGACTTCATTCTATCTTCACAGTGGCTTTTGGCATATAAGTTGGAATTTAAAACAATTTTAGCACAGAATTTTGAATATAGTTTTTATTGTTTTCTAGCATCCAGTGTTTCCTAGGAGAAATTGGATTCCTTTTTTTTTTTTTTTAAGGCAACCTGTTTTTTCCCCCTCTCCCCTTTATGTGAACTTTTTAAAGATTTTATTTATTTATTTGACAGAGACACAGAGAGAGGGAGAACAGGCTTCCCGCTGAGCAGGGAGCCCAGTGCGGGGCTCGATCCCAGGACCCTGGGATCAAGACCTGAGCCAAAGGCAGACACTTAACAACTGAGCCACTTAGGCGCCCCTACTTTATGTGAACTTTTAATTTGTGTCTTTATCCCTAGTGTCTTTTTTTTTTTTTTAAAGATTTTATTTTTTTGTTTATTAGAGAAACAGCATGAGAAGGGAGAGAGTCAGAGGGAGAAGCAGGCTCCCCACTGAGCTGGGAGCCCGATGCGGGACTCAATCCCGGGACTCTGGGATCATGACCTGAGCCGAAGGCAGTCGCTTAACCAACTGAGCCACCCAGGCGCCCTCTCTAGTGTCTTGAAATCCTGTGATGAAGGACTTTTTTTTTTTTTTTTTTGATGAAGGACTTTTGTGTGGTCCTTTTCCTATTTATTTTGCTGAGCACTCTATTTTCAGCCTGAAGACCTAGCCTTGTAGTCTGAACACTTCTCTTCATAATTTCCTCCACTATTTATCTCTGTTCTTTCTTGCTAACATTGGGCAAATGCTGTTGATGATGTTTTTTTTTTTTTAAAATCTTTTCTCGTCTTTCCCATGTCTTTGTCTTTGTAGTCAGATTTTCTGAGGAGTTCAACTTTTCCCCAACCTTTGACTGAACTTTTTCACATCAGCTGTCACATTTTTTAATTTTTAAGACCTCTTATTCCGTGATTGTCCCTTTTCTAAAGCATTCATTCTGTTCTTGTTTGATACAAGCCATCTTGTCTCACCTCTCTGAGACTCCTAATTGGGATTAAAAACAAATTCTTCTTTGCCTTGTCTCCGTTTCCTCTGAGGTCATTCCTTCTGATTTATCTTGGCCCGTCTATTTCATGCTGGAGGTTTTTTCAAATATCTGTTGAGCTCTGGGTTGTTTGTCTAATTTTTACTTATTTTTCTTAAAAAGTTTTATTTTTTAAAGTGATCTCTACATCCAAAGCTGGGGCTCCAACACACAACCCTGAGATCAAGAGCTGCATGCTCTTCCAACTGAGCCAGCCAGGTGAACCTTTGTTTAATTTTTTAAATTGAAGTTATAGGTTGTAAATTCAGGAACATCTTAAATAACTGGATCACTGTGACCCATCTTAACACTGTTAAAATGATCTACAATTTTTAGTTGCATTCTAATGGAAGAGAATGAAATATAGACGGATCAGGACAGGAGATGTAGCAGATCTTGCTGGACTGATGTCTAGGGAGAAGAGCTATCTGATTCACTTGAACATTGTTGTCTGTAATCATTTTTTCCCCAAACAAGTGGCTAACTGACCATTTCTATTCTATTAGGTGAGATCAAGTTAGAAATGCCAAGCATCAGCCTAGAGAGAGAGGTGTCTGACCTGGCCGCTGACCCGGAAGCCATTGAAATCTTAGAGCAGTGTGTGATAAACTGGTTGAATCTGATATCTGCAGCTGTCGAGGGCCAACTGAAAAAGACTCCTCAGGTAACTCAGGCCATGCCTTTGCAGATTCCCTGACGGCTCACGCTGGCCCCCGGAGAAAGAGCCAGGAGTCTGGGGATCTGTTGGATGCGGCCTCTTGTCTTGCTGTTTTGTGACCTCCTTTAAGGATCAAAGCATACATACCCAAATGTTATTCTTGGGCTTTCTGATGTTTAGCGCGCTGCCAGATCATACCCTGGATTGATAAAGATAATACCGTGTATCAGTCAGGATGCTTGGGCTGCCAAAAACAGGAAGCGTAACTCAGCTGGCTTCAACAAGAGACAATTTGTTGGCTCACATAATTGAAAAGTCCAGAGGCAGGGCTGGTTTCAGGTATGGTTTGGTCTGGCTGCGTTTCTCTGGGAATCTCTCATCTCCGTTCCATCCTCCTCAGGCTGGTTTCCTTTATGGTGGCAACTTGTTACATCCCCATGTCATATTGCCTGGAGAAAGGCGGACTGTCTTTGGTCAGCCTTCCTAGCCAGAGTCCTGAGATCCACTCTGATCGGACCCTCCTAGGTCAAGTGCATGCACTGATTCCTATTTGGAGCAGCTGGAGAGACAAGCACAGTTATACACTCCACACCAGTGATGACTCTTTATGTGTTCCTGTCACCTCTCAGGGTAATGGTCCTCTGGCCGAAATTGAATTCTGGCGGGAAAGAAATGCAACGCTGAGTGCACTCCACGAACAGACGAAGCTTCCAATAGTCAGGAGAGTCTTGGATGTGATCAAGGAGTCCGATTCCATGCTCGCGGCTAACCTGCAGCCGGTCTTAACTGAATTATTCAAGCTCCACATGGAGGCCTCAGACAACGTGCGGTTTCTGTCCACAGTGGAACGCCATTTCAAGGTACGCCGGGGGCCCGGCGCTTTGGAAAGTCGGGGCCGTAAATTAGATCTTACACGGATTGAGTTTCCTTTTTTAATTCAGCATTTAAACCACTGTGGTAGCACGCATATGACATTGAGTGTCTTAACTGCTTGCAAGCGTGTAGCTCAGTGGCAGTAAATACATGGTGCTGGGCACCCAACCTCCTCACCCGAAAGCAAGCATTTCATCACCCCCAACATAAACTCAGAACCCCTGAACCAACAATTCCCTCCTCCCGGCACCCCTGGTAACCTCAATTCCACTGTCTGTATGACTTTGCCCATTCTAGGTGTTTTCTGTAAGTAGGGTCGTTCATCTTTTATGCATAATAAAGTATCTCATTGTGATTTCGATTTACATTCCCTAAGAACTAATGAATGAGATTTAACACCTTGTCATGTGCTTCTATCTTTGATAAAATGTCTGTTTTAATCTTTTCCCCATTTTTGATGTGTCTTATTATTGATTTAGGAGTTAAAAAAATTTTTTTTGAAGATAAGTTCCTTATCAGATACGGGATTTGCAGTATCCCCATCTGTGGGCTTTTCACTTTACTTTTTTTTCTTTTAAATCTTTATTCTTTTTAAAGATTTTTATTTGAGAGTGGGGGGGGGAGAGAGAGAGCACGAGCATGGGGGAGCGGCAGAGGGAGAGGGAGAAGCAGGCTTCCCGCTGAGCAGGGAGCCTGATGCGGGGCTCGATCCCAGGACTCTGGGATCATGACCTGAGCCGAAGGCAGACGCTTAACCAACTGAGTCCCAGGCTTCTTTGCCCACATAGCTAGTGCCTGGGTGCTCCTGGGTCTCTTTCTCTCCACGCCGTATCTCATCCCCCAGAATTTCTCCACGTGGCTTGGATGTCTCCAAGCCTGGTGGCTTCAGGGTAACAGGGTAGTCACACTTCTTACAGGGCGCTGGCTTCCAAGAGCCCAGAAGCAGACCAGCTGAGGGCTATGCTCAGAAGGGGTACGGCATTACCTCTCCCATATTCTACTGGCTAAAGAAGTAACAGTCTGTGTGGATTTGAGGGGATGGAGAGGATGATGCCATCTCTTCATGGCGAGGGGGGCACAGTCAAGATGTTGTGACTGCGTTTGGAAAATACAATCTGCCACATATACCATGTACTGGGTGTGTATGTGTATGCTCAGTAGGTACACATACGCGTTCTTTTTCTATTTCTTTTTCTCGCTCTATATCTCTATATATACTCACATACACTCATGCTTCAAACATGTCTGCAAATTGCTTTATTTACTTTCATTGTAAATCTCCTGTCTCTTTCCATGTCAGTGCGTCCAGAGCTATTTCAGACTTCTTTCGGTGGTGAAACACTTCCTCCTGTAATAAGTATATTTAGTTTTTGAATTAGGAAGAGGGAAGCTTCCCGCGTACATGTTGCTTTAGTAAGCTACTTGACCCCAAGGCTAAGGCTGCTTTCTCTCTCTGGTTAGAACATCACGCATGGATCCAGCTTCCACGTCATCTTGGAGACAATCCCCTCCATGATGAGTGCCCTGAGGATGGTGTGGATCATCTCCCGACACTACAACAAAGACGAAAGGATGATCCCACTCATGGAGCGGATTGCCTGGGAAATTGCCGAGAGAGTCTGCAAAGTGGTTAATTTGCGGACTTTGTTCAAGTAAGAAATCGTACGCCATGTTCTTCTTGAGATCTTAAACAGCTTTTGGGGCACCTGGCTGGCTTAGTCAGTGAAGCGTCCGACTCTTGATCTCAGCTCAGGTCTTGATCTCGGGGTCGTGAGTTGGAGCCCCACGTTGGGCTCCACGCTGGGTGTAGCATCTACTTAAAAAAAAGATCTTGAACAGCTTTATTGAAATTCACCCATTTAGAATGTACAATTCAGTGGCTCTTTGCGGGTAGTAAGAGTCATGTGTCCATCACCGTAATCGAAGGTAGAATATTTTTTTCAATTAGAGAAGAAACCTCATACACTGTAGTGGTCACCTCTGGCCTCCCCGACCCACCCAGCCCTGGGCAACCACAGATCTACTTTCTACCTTGATGGATTTGCCTCTTTGTATAGATGGAGTCATCCAACATGGGGTCTTTGATGACTGGCTCCTTTGACTTGGCATCATGTTTTCAAAGTTCACCCGTATTGGAGAAGGTGTCGGTGCTTCCTTCCTTTTTATGGCCAAATAATACCCTGTTGTGTGGGATACATGGGTTGTTTTGTTTTAATTTTTAAATTTTTTTAATTTTTATTAAAAAAAATTTTTTTTTTAAAGATTTTATTTATTTGACAGAGACACAGCGAGAGAGGGAACACAAGCAGGGGGAGTGGGAGAGGGAGAGAAGCAGGCTTCCTGCCAAGCAGTGAGCCGGATGCAGGGCTCGATCCCAGGACTCCGGGATCATGACCTCAGCCGAAGGCAGACGCTTAACAACTGAGCCACCCAGGCGCCCCTGTTTTAATTTTTTAAAAAGATTTTATTTATCTTTTGACAGAGACACAGTGAGAGAGGGAACACAAGCAGGGGGAGTGGGAGAGGGAAAAGCAGGCTTCCCGCGGAGCAGGGAACCTGATGCGGGGCTCGATCCCAGGACCCCGGGATCATGACCTGAGCCAAAACCAAGAGTCAGATGTTCAACCGACTGAGACACTCAGGCACCCCATAGGTTATTTTAATCAGGACCTTCTTTCTTAGTTATCCTGGGAGAGACTAAGTCCCACAGTCAGAGGGAAACTTACTTCTGGACCCCAGGCCCCTGAGAGTGGGAGAGCCTCTGGGATCAAATGTTGAAGGAGATGCAGATCTTCACTTTCTTAAAAAAAAACAAAACCAAACAAACAAAACTATACAGGTGAAATAGGTACCAAAACCTTGGTATTATCTTTTCACTCTGGTGTTGCAGCCTCTACTGTGGACTTCTGGCCTGGGGCCAGAGGCCGCCTGCTCACTTCCCAGCTCAGATGGAAAGCTCCCTGAGGGGGACTGTAGTTCCTGTGGGCTAGGTGGGCAGTTGCAGCAAGGGTCAGCCCGGGTATGGCTTGCGATCGTGACCTTGCAGGTGTGTAAGGGCCTCACCCCCTTGCAAACTGGGGCGGGGCAGCAGCTCCCCGGGGAAGCTCTCTGCTGCCCTTGGAGGGTGTGGCTTGGACCCACTGCAGCTCCGCCTTCCCCCCACCCCCCATCGCGGTCTCTCTCTGCGCAGAGAAAATCGAGCCAGCGCCCAGCACAAAATCTTGGAGGCCAGGAACACCCTCCACATGTGGAAAAAGGCCTATTTTGACACCAGGGCCAAGATCGAGGCTTCAGGGAGAGAAGCTCGGTGGGAGTTTGACCGAAAGCGGCTGTTTGAGAGAACGGATTACATGGCCACCATCTGCCAGGATCTCTGCGACATTTTGCAGGTGGGCAGGCTGGCGGACGTTTTCTCTGCTGCACATGAGGCTGGTTGGAGTTGGGACTTGCCTGATGGAAAACAGTTTGGCTTTTTGATGGCACACTCTCTGTGTGTTGTGGGTGTGGAGGGGGAGCCAGGAGACAGATGGGGTCTGGCAGGGGGAAGCACTTGAGAGAGCATTCAGAATGTACCAGAATATGCCAGAGCCACACCAGACCTCTTGCACCTTTTCCTTGTCTTCTGCGACACCCCTCCTTCTCCTTGCTTTTGGCTGTGCTTTGACCTGTGGCCATTCCTTCTCAGTGTCTTTTGCAAAATCTTCCTCCTCTGTCTTCCCATTAAATGTTGGAATTTCTCGAAGTCCACTCCAAGACTTCTCTCCTGAAGCCAGCTCATGCTTGCCCATTGCTTCAGCTTCTACCTATCCACCAGTGACCCCCGTTTATCTGATCCCTCTCTCTCCTAAATGAATGTAAAACAGTATAGTGGATGAGTGGATGAATGATCCACAGTCCTTTGTCTCACGAAGGTCCATCCATTCATTCACTCTTAGTATTTGTTGAGAACTCATTTGTGCCAGGCACCTGCACTTGCTGCTAGAGAAACAGTGCGAGCACATCCAGGGCCAGCCACCTAACCCGCAGTGCTCAGTGCAAACAGACGTGGGACCCCTTGTTCAAAAAGCAGGGAAAAAAATGCTATTAAAAACATTGAAATATAAAGCTTTTCTCTCTCTCCTGACGTCTTTTGCCTTAGTGGGCTTTAGTTTTTATTTGCCATGACTATAGCAAAGTAAAGAGAGTAAAGGGAAATTAAACATTTAAATTATTCCATGAATTTTACCGTTCATCCTTAAATTGTGCAGTGTTGGCTTAAAATGCAAATACAAGGGCATTTGGCTTGTATGCAGAATCACAGTTTGTGCTCTGTCGCTGGGATGCGCAGACGGACGGTCTTGTTGCTGGAGCAGCGGCAATGTCCCACACAACTTTTTCTCTCACTTCTCGATGCACGCACATTCTGCCAGGCTTCTCTCCCCCGGCTTGCTGACGAGCGGGGGAAGGGCTGGAAGGGAAAGGAGAGTTCTTTGGGGTCTCTGCTGTTCGTCCTATGTCATCATTTTGGGGTGCGTAGCTGGTGAACACGGGGAAGTTACAGGAGCAGGAAACCATAGGGTCAGTTTCCTATTCAGGCGTGTTTCTCAGAACCGTGCATGGCCTCCTGAGTCTGAAGCAAAGTCTGGTTTGAAGGGAGAACATGGTCTCGTGGAGCAGCCGCGGTCCTTGAGTACTTGTTGATGCAACACGCTTACTTGTCCTGACTGTGAATGTCTCCGAACTGGCATGTGCGGGGGGCCCACCGGAGTCCTTTGCTTGTGGGGTTGTGGGGCATCACACGCTCTGTGAGGGAAGGGGTAGGGGAAATGCAGATCCCAGTACCTGCTCATATGTGCGCATGGCTGTCCCATCAGACTTCATTTACAAAATACACCTGCAAAGATAAAATTATGAAGAATTTCAAGAAGGTTATAGCAGAGCCTTACACCCAGCATGGGGCCCTTCTGAGCCTGGAGCCCCGTGCACCTGCCTGGGTCCCACGTCTATGAAGCTGGCCCTGGCAAGCATGTCCCTAGCCTGTGGCTCCATGGAGCTTTCAGTCTGGTAGAAGAAAGATGGTAGACATAACAATCATACACATACACAGCTGTGGCTGACGTTAAGTGCTCTGAAAAGTGCAGTCGAAGGGGCTCTGGAAGTGTGTACCAGGGCCTGACCTGTTCTAAGGGGTTGGACGTGATAAAGTGATCATCAATGATGAGTAGTAGCTAGCTAGGCAATTTGAACTGCAAGTACGAAGGCCCTGTGACAGGAGGGAACATGAGACTGAAAGAGGGCTAGGCTGTGCTGCAAGGAGGCGTGGCGTGGGGCACAGTATGGGAAGGGGTTGGAGAAGGTGGGGGTCTGAACATGTAGACTTTGCAAACTGTGTCAGGATGTCTGGATCTTGTCCTACATGCAGTAGGCATAGTACCAGAGGTCTTAGACTGGGAAGAAGTTGCCTGTGTGACATGATTTTTTTTTTTAAGACTTATTGTTTGGGGGGTGCGGGCAGAGGGAGAGAATCTCCAGCAGTCTCCCCGCTGAGCGAGGAGCCCGACTTGGGGCTGGATCCCACGACCGTGAGATCACGACCTGAGCCGAAATCAAGAATCAGACGCCCAACCAACATGATTCTTGCCCTCAGGCCAATCTAGATGCAATCCATTTGTAGTTAGAACATTCATGAGAAAACCAAAAGGCAACTTCCTTGTGTTTTGTTTGGGCAGGTTATGGAGGAATTTTACAATATATTTGGTCCCGAACTAAAGGCAGTGACAGGGGATCCCAAGCGCATCGATGATGTCCTGTGCAGGGTGGACAGCCTGGTCACCCCGATGGAAAACCTGGCCTTTGACCCCTTCAGCATCAAGTCTTCCCAGTACTGGAAATACGTGATGGATGACTTTAAGATTGAAGTTCTGGCAAGTAACTCATCAATTCATTTAATCTTGGAAGCTGATACCATGTTTTCCCCATGTTAAATTAGTTATTTAGTCATGCTTAGCATTTTTTTTAAGTTATAAAAAGTAATACCTGCTTATTTGTAAAAAAATATAACAAAAACACCCAGAAACGATGTGGAGGAGTATAGGTAGAAGTGAACATTCCTTAATCTCCTTTGTCCCCATTCCTATCCCTTGGTAGAATAAGGTTAAATCAAGCTGGACACAGTAGCATTTCTACAAAGGTAGGTATGGTGCATAATTGGAGAGGATGTAGGAGGGTGATGAATGAGACTTGATTTAGTAGACAGCAGGGAGCCATTGAAGGTTGTTGACCAGTGGGGTGAGGTAATCAGAATTATGGTTGAGAAAGGTTCTTCTGGTCACAGCATAGGCTGATTTGGGCTGGGGTATGACAGGAGGTGGGGAGATGATACGGGAGGTTGTGGCTTGGGGTGTGGAGGAGGCAGAGCCGTCAAAGAGGGACTGTACTGAGAATATAGTTTCACTCCACACTGTGTGATAGGATGGTGGATGGTTCATCATGCATACCTTTTCAGCTTCATGTGGGAAGTACATCAGTAGCATTCCCATTTATAACCCCAGAGCATCTTTTTATATGGACAACCCCAGACAGTTCTTCTTGGGTTTTCTAAACACTTCCATTAAAAAAAAAAAGATTATTTGAGAGAGAGAGAGAGAGAGCACACGAGGAGGAGGAGGGACAGAGGGAGAAGGGAGCGAGAGAATCCTCTGGCAGACTCCCTGCTGAGCACGGAGCCTAATGTGGAGCTTGATCTCAGGACCCTGAAATCATGACCTGAGCCGAAATCGGGAGTCGGCCGCTTAACCGACTGAGCCATCCAGGGGCCCCCAAACATTTCCATTTTAATTGTATCTAGTTTATTCTCAGCTTCTATTTTATTTAAGTGTTATTAGTTTTTAAATTGAAATTTTCATTGTCACTTTGTCAAGTAATACTAAAAGGCTATTAATAAGAAAAAGCAGCCCTATGCTTAACTCCTCTCCATTCCCATTCTTGCTGTCATTTTTCATAATTCTAGATTTTTTTGTTGTTGTTTACCTTCCTATTTCCTAAAGAACATGCCAATGTGGTTACTTTCTGATTTATCAAATTTAATCAGTTTTAGACACCTATTAACTTTTCAGAGTAGATATAGACTTGCCTGTCCTATTCCTACCCCTATCGCTCTTTGCCTCTTTGTCATCTAACATAGTTTTATCATAACTTTTGGTTAAATTAATGGTTAGTGTTTACTCATTATGTCTGTGCAAATATTGTTCACTGCTGAGTCAAGAAGACCATCATAACCACACCACCTTTCTCGTACAACCCTTCATTTTTCCTAAAGTTAATCATTGCTTTTATTTTTATTTGCTTGGTTATTTACATACTTGTTATTCTTTTTCCCAACTGCTCTAACATTTCTGCCACATATCTAATGGGTTCCATCTGCTCAAAAATATCAGTGCTATTATTTTCCTAGAGGCCTTTGTCCCAGAGCTCGCTCTCTTTCTGCTCCAGTCTAGATTGTTGGCTCTTTAGACTTACTGCAAAGTAGTCACCCTAGGACTTCTTATCTCTTCTGATCTGTGTTGGATCCTGTTTTCTAGATTTCACATCTTCCTCTTGTGGCTCTTTGTTTTGCTGGCACACAATTTTTAGAAGCTTTCTAAGAAAGTTTTCATGGGACATACATTTTTTCAGTCTTGTATGTGTGAATTCTTTTTTTTTTTTTTTTAAAGATTTTATTTATTTATTTGAGACAGAGAGAATGAGAGAGAGCATGAGAGGGAGGAGGGTCAGAGGGAGAAGCAGACTCCCCGCCGAGCAGGGAGCCCGATGCGGGACTCGATCCCGGGACTCCAAGATCATGACCTGAGCCGAAGGCAGTCGCTTAACCAACTGAGCCACCCAGGCACCCCTGTATGTGTGAATTCTGAAATAAAGTTATAGAATTTAAGGTTGAAGTAACTTTTTTCAGAAATTTGAAGGTATTCATTGATTTCTAGCTTCCAGTGTTATTAGAATTCTGATTTTTTTTTTTTTTTTGAGAGAGAGTGTGTGTGCGTGCAAAGTTAGGGGGCAGAGGGAGAGAGAGAATCTTAAGCAGGCTTCATGCCCAGTGTGGAGCCCACTGTGGGACTCAGTCTCACGACCCTGAGATCATGACCTGAGCTGAAATCAAGAGTCAGATGCTTAACTGACTGAGTTACCCAGACGCTCCTGAATTCTGATGTTGCTCTGACTTAATTTTTCTAGAACCAACCTTATGCTTTTTTTAGAGTGGGACAGGATGAGGGTACAGAGGAAGCAGAGTAGCCTGGTCATGCTGGGTAGAGAAGGGATCCTGTGTTTGCCTCTCAGCCTCCTGGTACCTGGTGTCTCCAAATGTTCAGCCTCCTGGAGTTTTCCTGGGGAGGAAATGGATTCCTACCTACACCCCTGTTGCATCAGGTTGTAATTCTCTGCCTTCTGTAACGTTATTTATTTCCGTCTGCCTAAAACTCCTGAAGAATCTCTTCTTGCTGTTGTGTCCTCTCCCGTTTTCTTTGTTTATATGAGTTAACACTTAAAAAAATTTCCTTTTGGGGCGCTTGGGTGGCTCAAGTCGTTAGGCGTCTGCCTTCGGCTCAGGTCATGATCCCAGAGTCCTGGGATCGAGTCCCACATCGGGCTCCCTGCTCAGCGGAAAGCCTGCTTCTCCCTCTCCCACTCCCCCTGCTTGTGTTCCCTCTCTCGCTGTCTCTCTCTCTCTGTCAAATAAATAAAAAAATCTTAAAAAACAACAACAGCAAATTTCCTTTTGACCATTTTGAACTGAATGAGGGGAGGGATCAGAAAGCCAATGCAGCCAATCTGCTATTTTTAATTGGACACCAGCTTCCACTAAAGCACAGTGGAAATCCATATCAAATCACGAATTTCTTTTTTGCTTATTTCTTGCCACTTTGTTTTTGCAGGATAGTTATAGGGACATAAGGACTGGGGTTGTGGGGGTTTTTTTTGACCTTTTTTTGACCTTTTTTTTTGGTCAGGTTATTGAGAAAGAAGCAAAAAATTTTATTGATGAATCTTTCAAGACACTTCGGTCAGCTGAAGCAGCATTCGACATGCTTTTAAAATTTAAGCATATTCGTTCACGGGAAGCTATCAATCGACAAATGATGATGAAATTTAATGATATCCTTGCACAGTATTGCAAAGAGGTAACTGGTAGATCTATAGGTGCCATAGCAGTAAAAGGCACTTGGCAAAATGTGCAGAATTGAGTCATGCTCTTATCTGTCTCTCCCATCCAAATTCAGTGGAACTGTGGAATTTTCCCAAATAAGCATGTCACATACCACAGGTAACCAAAACAAAGTGGGTTGGTTGGTTTGTTTAGTGAAGAAATTCGGTAAGAATTTATCAAGTGCAATATTATATAGCTCACACTGTGATGGGCTCTGTATGAGTTAGTAGTAGTAAGAATCACATTAATCATTGTGGAAGTCCTAGCTAACTATGTGTGTGTTTATATATTCAGAAAACTGTTCCTGGGGCTCACAAAATCCAAATATGGGGTTAGACAGACAGACAGATGAACAAAACACAGATTCTGCCTTCAAAGAAGTCAGTATATAGTGGGAGAAACAGACCAAAAAAATTGCTTTTCATTTTATTCAGAGGATAAAGGATTTTATTCAGAGGATAAAATGAGAATATGCGATATAATCAGTTGGAGTGACATAAAGGGATAAAGTGATTTCCGAATGTGTAGTTTCCTCTTGCAGCTGGAACAAGGTACTACAAGCTTTGTGACTTCAAACCACACAGATTTGTTATCTTACATAGGATTTTGAAGGTCAGGAGTCTGCCATGGTCTCACTGGGTTGAAATCCAAGGGTCAGCAGGGCTGTATTCCTTTCTGGAGTCTCTAGGGAGAATCGATTTTCTTGTTTTTTTTCCCCCCAGCTTTTAGAGATTCATGGCCCCCTTCCATCTTCAAAGCCAGCAATGGCTAGTCCCGTGTCCATAGCTCTGACCCTCTCCTCTGCCTCCCTCTTCCTCTTTTAAGGACCCCTGTGATTACCTCGGGCCCACCCAGCTAATCCAGGGTTATTGCCCTATTATAAGGTCAGCTGGTTGGCAACCTTGAGTCCCCTTTTTCGTATAATGTAACATAGCCACGGGTTCTGGGGGTCAGGACCATTATTGGGGGGCTGCTAGTCTGTCTCCCACATCTGATTACCCACACGAGAGTGTGGAGCTCCTTTTAAAATGCAGGTCCAGCCAATGTGGTCCCGCAATTCCACTTCTGGGCATAGACCCTAAAGAAGTGAAAACAGAGTCTTGAAGAGATATTTGCACACCCGTGTTCAAAGCAGTACTGTTCACACTAGCCAAAATGTGCAAACAACCCAAATGTCTATTGATAGAGGAATGGATACACAAAATGTGGTCTCTCCATGCAAAGGAATATGATTCATCCTTAAAGATGAAGGACATTCTGACACCTGGATGAACCTGTAAGCATTCTGTTAAGTGAGATAGAAAACCCCACCTACTCTGATTCCACCTACACGAGGTGCTTAGAGGAGTCAAATTAGGAGACAGAAGGTAGAGTGGTTGAGTGCCAGTGGTCGGGGAGGAGGATGGGGAGTTAATGTTTCATGGGGACAGAGTCTCAGTTTGGGAAGGATGAAACAGTTCTGGAGACGGATGGTGGCGCTGGTTATATGGTGGTGGGTGTGAATGTGCTTCATGCACTGAAATGCCCTTAAAGATGGGCATTTTATGCTATGCATATTTTACCATAATTTGAAAAAATCACATAAATCATTAAAAAATCTCAGTGGTGCATGTGTGTGGGCACACACAGGCGCACAGTGCAGGCTTGGCCGCTGGTCATGCCTAGAACAGATTTCAGAATATCTAATAAGTCACCGAAATGATTGTACCTAGTCTGTAGTAATAAGGCAATTTGGAGCACAAAGAAAAAACTGCTGGGGTGTAAGAAAAAATAGTAGAGATAAGTAGCCGAGAGCATGATTCTGTATCTCATTCGATTTCTGACGTTCCAGCATTCGTTGCTTTAAAGACACCTCAAGTTCAGTCTTTCTTGGCTCACGTGCCGAAGCGTACCACTTACAGAGTACCTCTGCTTTTCAGATCGACATAGTTAATAAACTCTTTGTTCAGAACCTGGACAACCCACCATTGTACAAGAATCACCCTCCAGTAGCAGGTGCAATCTACTGGGAACGGTCCCTGTTCTTTCGGATGAAGCACACCATTCTCAGGTTTCAGGAAGTGGAGGAAATACTGGACAGCGACCGAGGAAGAGAAGTATGTTGCTTTTGCTAGAGTCGTCCCCTTGTGTATTTCAGAGACCACGTAGGGTTGCCTGTGGGAGGAGCACATCCATCTCCCTGAACTTGATCTTCAGTTTCTCTGGAATGCTATCTCTCCCCCCACCCATGGGTTTTGTATGTTAGATCACTGGGGTTGACAAACCTTTCATTTAAATGTTCAGAGAGTAAATGTTTTAGGCATTTGCAGGTCGTACCCTGCCATGGTGTAGCAAGAAAGTAGCCGTAGAGAGTATGACAACGAACAGGCATGGCCGTGTTCTAATAAAATTTCCTTTACTAGTGCCGAAATTCTGATTTTGTGTACTTTTCACATGTCACAAAGCACTGTTGTTCTTTTTGGGTTCCTGCTAATCATTTAAAAATGTAAAAGCTGTTCTTCGCTCTTGGGCTGCACCAAAGGCAGCCCACGGGCTGGGGTCTGCTGATCTCTGCTAGTTGGTGTGGATTTCAAGCCATACCATCTTGAACACACCCTCCAAAATTTGTGAAAATCTGTACGCTTCCTTCTGCAAAATGTGCTCACAGATCATTTTTTTAAAAAGAGAACGATTGGGGGAAGAGCAAGAGAGAGAGAGAAAAGTGTTATTTCCAAGGGCAAACTGACAATTGCCTGAATTCTTTGACAGATAAAACAAAAGTACTTGGAAGTGGGTAGGACAATGAAGGACTATGAGGACAGAAAGTACGAGCAGTGGAGAGAGGCCACGGAGCTGGTCCTGCCCACTCTCATGAAGAAAAGTCTGCTCACTAAGGTGTGTATTTCCAGGTCCTTGCCCAGGTTAGGGCGGTCAGGGTAGATGATGGCGTCTGCCATTTTCTTGAGGTTTGGTGTGTTGCCATGCTTGCCGTTGATGGGTATTTCCAAAATCAAAGGCAAAGAAGGGCCGAGGCTGCCCCGGGGAGGAGATGGAGGCAGCATCTCGTCATGGCTAGGAAACGTGCCGGAATCCAGCAGCCCTGTTCACTCCATGGGCAAGCGGCTCAATTCCGAGCCTCAGTTTCCCCATTTGTAAAATGAGTCGGATCAGAGGACCTCAACACACAAAGTACTCGTTGAACCATGTGTGAAACAGCTGGCAGTTGACCTACAGGAAAATGCCATTTCCCGTGATTCACCCCTGTCCATGGCATTTGGGCTATACAGAGCCTGCTACACGGCAGATGCTCAGTAAAGAAATCCTCGGGGGGAGGAGAGACCTGGGCGTGGAGGCTTTAGAACTGTGGTCTCTGAAATCCTGCAGCAGGGACCAAAATGAGCGCAGAGGGCCGGATGGGGTCGGTAGGGAAGCCAGAATTCTGGATTTTTACATGCAGTTGACCAATTTGGGAATGTGAGTGACTAAATTAAATTCTTTAAACACTGTTCACTGAACAAAATACGTATTCGAGCTAGCTCCAGCCGACTCCCCAGTCTGGCCCCATCTAGGGCCCTACGCTGATCTTTTTCAAATGTATGTGGACCTTGGGTTGTACGGGCTGCTTCTCAGACCACCCCTGCCATGCTTGTGAGACCTCTCTTCCACAGACTTCTTCTGTTGCTGACGAGATGGCCAACGCTGACAAGCGGTCTCTGTTTGCAATCAATTTTTCACCTGCTCTCAAGGAGATTATTAACGAAACAAAGTACTTGGAACAGCTAGGATTCTCTGTCCCTGAATTAGCAAGAAATGTTGCTCTCCAGGAGGACAAATTTCTTAGGTAAAAAAGATTCTTCTCTTAAATCAACAGTAAACTTATTGATCTCGGGACCCCTTTATACATTCTTAAAAATTCATGCTAACCCTACCCCCTCCTGCTTGCTTTTTTCTGCATTTTATAGCCACCAGGATGAGAAATTAAGCAATGTTTAAACTATGTATTCATCCATTCATCCAAAAGTAACGATAACAACTCCATTACATGTTAACATAAATAAGTTTCTAATGAAAAGTAACCAATATTTTCCAAAAAAGAAAGTCAGTGGGAAGACTGGCATTATTTTCAATTTCTGCAAGTTTTTCTATCAAAGCTCTGGCCTGGGGGTGCCTGGGTGGCTCAGTCAGTTAAGTGTCTGACTCTTGGTCTTGGCTTGGGTCTTGGTCTCGGCTCAGGTCTCAGTCTCAAGGTCGTGAGTTCGAGCCC